TCCAACCCCTCCCTGCCAGAGCAGGATCACCTGGAGTAGATCCCACAGTAACAAGTCCAGGCGGCTTTTGAAAGTCTCCAGAGAAGGAGACTCCACCCCCTCTCTGGGCAGCCTGTTCCAGGGCTCTGTCACCCTCACAGGGAAGAAGGGTTTCCTCATGGTCAGGTTGAACCTTCTGTGCTCCAGTTTATGCCCACTCCCCCTAGTCCTGTCACTGGACACCACTGAGAAGAGCCTGGCCTCATCCTCCTGACACCCACCCTTTAGATATTTGTAAGCATTGATCAGAGCCCCCCTCAGCCTCCTCTTCTCCAAGCTAAACACACCCCGCTCTCTCAGCCTTTCCTCACAGGGAAGGTGCTCCAGGCCCTTCATCATCTTAGCGGCTGCAGAGATGGACCCTCACCAGTAGTTTGTTGTCCTCGAACTGAGGAGCCCAGAACTGGACAGGGTCACTTGTCACCAAGTCACTCCAAGGGATTTACTCTTGTGGTGGTTGTTACTCACCATGAGTCATCACTTGCAGCTTCAGATAACGAACACGTAAAAGCAAGACAAGAACTTCAGTGCCAGGGGAGGCCGCACCACGCGCAAAGCCAGCACTGGATTTGTATCCACAGGGCTAAGCATCGTCCTCACCACGTCTCAACTTTCACTGAGACGTATTTATCAATACACTCGGGCCTAACCACATTCACACCACTGTTGCGACCTCAATCCCTTTGTAAATTCGGCTGCAACCAGGTAGGGAACCGCACACCGTGATTGTGGAATCGTGATGAAGGTCTCTGGCCAGAGAGGAGACCTCGCGAGGAAAACTTGCTCTAGAGACAAAACCAGGGGTGATAACCCACAGTTCCATCAGCCAAGAGTAAACCAGAGATACAAACCAGGCCTGAAAAGCCCGGTTTTGGCCTTTTCTTTCATGTAGAACCAATTACATGGTTTTCTCCCCCAAACCAGAATTATGGACATGCAGCTAACCAGCTCCAGTTGCTAGAGCATGCAAACATCATCCCCCCCCCACCCCAGGGGCACCTCAATGTTGGTAGAGAAAAATACAGTTGGTGTGGCACACGCACGTTTTCCAACGGCAGAAAATAGGGATGAAGCACAACTAGGGGAGGGCAGCTGGTGCGGGATTTGTTCCCTCACTCGGTCACACGGGTGATGAAAGCTGCAGGGATTGGGCTTAAATTCACGCGGCCTGACCCGGGCACTCCATGGGTTTCACTGGGCTGGCGGGATGGGGAACACAAAGCAGGTTTTAAAGGGCTGCCATCCGTAAATCGGCACTGTAGGATACGCTGTCCATGTTAAAGCAAACAGCTGCACGATCCCTCACTTGGATGACATAGATAAAAAACAAACTTAGCAAAGAATTAAACTTCCCACAAGGCTGAGCCGACTGTGAGGGAAAAAACAACACCTCGTTCCCCAGCAGGAAAAAAGATACTCTCCCCGTTCTTGCTCAGGAAGCGTTGGTTGAGTTTAAACAAGAGTTTCCTCTGGTGCAAATTTTGTGGGAACAGACCGAACATGGGGTGCTAAACTCTGTGCTCCCCCTTACCAACTCGTGGGCAGCGAGTGAGCTCCAGCCCCGCAGGGGCATCTCCCCGCGGCCCCCCCCCCCCCAGCCTCATCTGACTGACCACTCCGACGGCAAAATTTCATTGAACTTTTCCTTCTTTATTTCTAGGTCAAGTAGTTTACACGGTGTTTTATTATGTCGGCGTAGAGCCACAAAAGTAAAATTTATACACAGGGTTATGAGCAGGCAGCGACGCTACAGAAAACCAGACACAGGCTTTAACCATCCTCTGTAACCGCGCCCGAAAAGGAGGCGGAAAACCATCACGGTTTGCCTACCACGCGCGCTCAGGGCAATTACCAGCACATGGGCGAAGCAGAGCACAGAGCGGCGAGCTCCCAGCTTCCTGCTCACCGTGAAGCTCCTCCCCAGCAACGGCCAAAACCAACACGTGCTTACAGCGATCCCTGCCTCGTACCTGCGCTTACTGGTGCGTCCGAGAAGCTTCCAATGGCGACGTTGTCGAAGGCAAAAATAGGTCTCCTTGAAAGCGAGGCTAACGTAAAACCATTCCCAACCGGTGCCGCGACTCTGGAAGGCCACAAAAAGTAGCGAGCGCTAAAGGGGACCTCTCATAAGTCCCTTAAGAGCGGAGGCAGATGAAGGAGTCACGGGGGATGACTGATGCAGGATGCCAACTCCCAGCGTGCCGGCTGCTTCGCAGCTAAGTGCCACCCTGCATCCTACCTTCCCCCCCCGCCCAGCCCTCCGGCGGGACACCAGGGTTAAGCCGTCCCGCCATAACCGGTTCATCTGTCCGCGCACACGGTGTTTGGAGCTGCACAGGAGCAAGCACGGCACCGCGGCGGGAGGGCTCCTACGTTACTGCAACACCACCGCCCCGTACTACGGCCATCGTGCCGGTGCCCTTTAGCCAACTGCTGCGCGACTGCAGAGTGCGACTGCGAGGAAAATGAAGTTAAGAATCCTAGATTCATGGAAGGGTTTGGGTTGGAAGGGACCTTACAGACCATCTAGTTCCAGCCCCCTGCCATGGGCAGGGACACCTTCCACTAGACCAGGTTGCTCAAAGCCTCATCCAGCCTGGCCTTGAACACTTCCAGGGATGGGGCATCCACAGCTTCTCTGGGCAGCCTGTGCCAGTGCCTCACCACCCTCCCCACTTGGGACGGTCAAGGCAGTGACGAAGTACGACCTGCACGGAAAAGTCATCAGTGCAACACTGTAAGAGTGAAACGGATTTGGGCAGGAAAA